AGGATTGCTTGCAAGTCAAGAATACATAATTAGATGCCTTTAATTGCAATAATTATAATTTACCTGATTTTTATATCTTTGTATAGCAATCCTTAATTTGACAATCTGCCCTCCTTTTGAAACCAATTCTTTTAGCAAGACATCACTATAGTCTGCCATGAAGCAACTCGATTGTGCAGAGCTATTAAAATATTAAAAACAATCATTATTTGTCTATAAAAAGTGACTGTTACACTGTTAATTTGGTAAAATAGCTGCCATTGCATGCAGTCCCCACATCTCACCTCGGTTGGTATTTCGGTACAAATAAAACACTAGCAGGACTGTGACCAGACATCACAATCAGACTTGGATCCACATTTATATAAACAATAAACATTGTACTATTGCAGAAATCCAGTGCAGTAGAAATCATATTTTCATCATTTTCAACATATTTCGGTGCTTCCAGGGAAATTTCATGGTATTTAAGGAAATTTCACATGGTAAAGAGGGAATTTGAATGTGGAAGCACATGTGATTTGAAAATTTAACGAACGCAAATCAGACTTTCATTCTCATAGCAATATATCATTGAAAATGTCATAAAATGATTTGTTATACTTTAAGTTTAACATGTTGTTATAGCTATGTCAGTATGTGAATATGTGATCGATACCCCGTCTTCTGTTAGCTTGTCTAGAACATATTAGCCGCTGCCGGCACTCAATATAAAACACTCCGCTCAGATAATTCTAGGCTCATTGATGTTGCTTAAAACGAATAAAATGTCTTTGGATTAAGAAGAATATTAAGGAAATCATATATTTTCGGCATACCATAGTTATAATACAACCCTAAATCACTAAATTATTTTTTATTATGGCATATTTTATAGACGGGCACCGCCGCACCGATCCTTCCCATAAAAACAAAATAAACTTCACAGTACCTCTAAATCTGAATCCATTTCTTCTTTGTATACTGTTTCTTGAATATATTTGACAAAACGGAGAGAATGAAGCTCAAATTTAATGTTTTAAAACGGCAAAACGCATTAAGCACATATTTCCAGCCTTGCTTTGGTGAACACGAGGGAGAAAAGATTGAATATGGCGCGCGCGATGCGTATTGGGTTCGTATTGTCACGTGATGTTAAAAGAGGCGCATGATTGGATGACTAATCAAAGGCTAAAATAAATCAAGTTTGCAGGAATAGCAAATTCATAAGTGTAAGATACGATCTGGATTTAAGTTAATCATCTGCAAATGCATAGATTGCCCTGGTTCCAGAGGCTCTTTGCGAGGCGAAAGAAACGATAGGCGAGAAGGAAGAGCCCCTGGTCACATCGGTTACAAATCCCACTTCCACACTTGATTAAGTTCAGAATTTTAATGTGAACTGAAGTGGAGTAGTTTGAACTCTCGTTTTGGAGTGAAATATACTCTAATTTTTTTACTCTCCAAAAGGGAGTTATTTCAACTCTTACGGTGGAGTTAAAATTACTCCCTAGAATTAACAGTGTATATACAACACTATACCGCGACACTACACAATAATATACAAGGCTATGCGACACTATAAAACACTATATAGTGTTATACAAGACTATATAACAATATATAAAGGATATACAACACTAAAAAACACTATACAACGTTATACAAACCATGCAACAATATATGAGGTTATACGACACTATACAACACTATACAACGTTATACAAAACTATAAAAATTATGACGCTATACAAGATTATACATGACACTATATTTTGCACTAAAGAAGACTATACAACACTACACAACGTTATGCGACACTATACGACACTATATAAGGTTATACGATACTATACAATGTTAATAATATAAGACTATACGACATTATACAAGACTATACAACACTATACGACACTATACAATAATTCGGTATCTAACTCTTACATAGTGTTGTATACAGTACTATACAACACTATGTAAGAGTTAGATACCGAAAACGGAGGCTCTTAGTCAGATACAAACCCGAGGGATTTATCTGACTAAGAGCCGACGTTTGAGGTATCTAACTAACTTAGTTCATATTTGTAAGGATTGACCCACAATGAAATTTACTTTATGATATGTATTGTTCTTTAAATGAGTTTGAATTACCATGGTTGTAATAAAAACAAACAGGGCTATTTTGATATGCATCAATTCTCGTGTCGCACTACAGTATACTATCAATGAGAAGTGATTAAATATTCGTTCACCAACCACAATTACGATGAAATATGTTTGAAATAGCTCATACAACCGAGAAGAGCTAACGAAGATTTGTACGGGTTTGTCGAAGCAGAGATTCTCAAGTTGTTCTCAACAGGGTTTTATTTGCAGGATAAAAAACAAATGGGAGGTCTTTCATTGAATTTCAAGACCGAGGGGTGCAGCGCCGAGGCTTGAATTTCAATGAAAGACCGACCATTTTCTATTGTCCTTGGGAGGTTGTGGGACGAAATAAGGTTGAACATGCGCATTAAACACGCTTTAATGTGGTTGAGCATGCGTAGTATATCATTTCGCTTCCCACAAGCGAAAGAGCAGATATTACTGTATAAATTCCTTGCACAAGCAAGTTTGATGGTCGGTTCAGCTAGTCCTCGTCACAGAATAAAGATCAGTAACAGAAGGGCCACTCAGCGGTGCAACGTGTCCGCATTTTTTTATGCAAAAATATGCAGTTTACTGGCCAGAAGGCGGAGCAGCCAGCCAGTACAGCGTGTTTATTGGCCAGAAAATGTCATTGACTGGCTAGGAAAATGGCGGCCAACATGCGTAATGCGACATGCGCGAGGACAGAAACTTCAAAGCTTCCGACGTAAGTGGCCCTTCTATATGGATCTTTATTCTATGTCCTCGTGCACCGAATGATAAATATTCTACCCAAAGGTAGAGTTTGACGGGCTTTGAGGTACACGGCTGTTGTCTCTTTCTCGACTCAGAGACGTGCAGCGTTTTCTAGTCGAAAAGGAGATGTGGGGTTTGAGTTTGGTTAAAAATTCAAGGTATCTAACTCCATAGTGACCTCCAAAAGGGGTCACTATGGAGTTAGATACCTTGCATTTTGAATTAGGCATTCAATTCTATTCATCAACCCCGCTATTCCCTGTGGAGATATCAAATCCCTCCCCTTGCTTTTAGATTCTTACCCAAATAAAACCCTATTGAGAACAATAGATATCCGCACAAATATGAACTAAACAAAGTTATACAAAACTATACAACACTATATAAGGCTATACGACACTATACAACGCTATACAACGTTACACAAGACTGTACAACAATATATAAAGCTATACAACACCATACAATATTATACAAGACTATAAAACACTATAACTATATAAGGCCAAACGACACTAAATGACACTATGCAACATTATACAACAGTATACAAGACTATACAACACTATGTAAGACTATACGGCACCATACAAGACTATACAACAATATATAAGGCTATACGACACTGTACGACACTATGCAACGTTATACAAGACTATACGACACTATACAACACTATACGTCATTTCGATGTTTCCCTTCGTCGTTGAGTTAACAGTTATATGCTGTATCCTGTGCGTGTGAGCAGACACTTAATATCAAGTCTTCAATCATTTTCACGTTTTTCTTCGCAAATCATAACAACATTTGCAAACATTGAACATGCCTGCATCATTCTGTCATGATATTTAAACGGTCAATATAAATTTATTACTAATAAGTAAACATTATTGTCAACACCGTAATCGGTATACTGTTAATTGGCTAAAACGTACCTGCAAAAAATAATTTTCTAACGAAATTATTGTCGTTTATTTGTGAAGAAATTATCGTTTTTTATATTTTTCATCATGGCGGAAGGTACAGAGCGAGAGCTTTACGGCGATTTACGAGCAATTACCGACTGACAGAAATCCAAATTTCTTCTATATTTTGATTCAAGGTGCATCGTTATAACTCGGCCAAGGAAACTGGCACGAGTCATGACGTCAAAATCAGTTGTCGAGATTAGTGTGCAATAACAAAATTGGGTTACAGTATAATATAATATAAATAACACTGTTCGTAATAATATAGTTCATAATAATATAGTGTAAATATATAATACTGTTCGTGAGTGATTACAAAGAAAACATAGCAAACAAGACTAATTACAGGTTACATATCGGGCGGTATTTTCTTAACACAGGTATTTTCTTAATTTATTTTGAAACGAAGTGACGGTTGACTCTTGACGAATATCTTGTCGTAGAGTATTAAAAAAATTTGGAGCCTGGTAAATAACAGAGAATTTTCTAATATTAGTCCTACAGAAGGGAAGCAGGTACGAGCTACTGTCCGAATATAAAAATAAAACTAAAATTTATGTACATATATAATTTTGACTCAGAGGTGTTTTCTACGTATATTGGGTCCGTGTTCTAGATGATTTCGTTGGGAGTTATTGAAAACATAGCGAGCGCGTCGTAATGTTGATAATTATTACGCATATTTGGGGGTACGTTGGTGTTACTATGAATCATGATAATTCCGTGTATATAAAATGAGGCTGGCTACAAAATGAAATTGAATAATATGCATTTAGATAATTAGATTCATTTAAGGATGATTTACAGAAGAGAAAACACAGCAAGGACAAGGGCTTTGGTACTTTATTATAGAAAGGAATCGGGTTTTTCGAATAGGAAGATCGCGAGAAAATGACATATAAGCCCTTTATCAGTAGCAAGAGTATAGAGGGAAGACCAACAACCAGCTGCACTGAGATCTAAACCGTTAAAAGGCAACAACTTAAGGATCGCCCATGAAAAGTTGACGAGCGATCGTAATTGCCGCTATAGCTTATGTGAAAGGTGTGGTTCTCAAAGTTCCCTATGAGAAAATGAATGGCAATTTCTTTGCAGAGCTCATTGGAAAGCGTTATAATACTTGTTTTGCAAAGTGCGGACGTAAAAAACGATCGTCGCCTGTTTCTCATGGATAATGACCCGTCGCAAACGAGTAAAGCAGCGCGAAAAGCAATGGAAAAAATCGAGGCTGAATTTCACAAGATTCCGGCTAGATCGCCTGACCTGAATCCGATTGAAAATCACTTTCACTTGGTAAAGAAAAGTCTCGAGAATAAAGCAATTGAAGATAATATAACGTAAGAAACGTTCCAAGACTTTTCAGCGCTGGTTTTAGAATCCTTGGAAAATCTGTCAACTGATGTAATCTATCGTACTATTTCAAGCCTGTCAAGTCGAGTAGATGCTGTTCTTAAAGTAAGAGGAAATGGCATAAAGTACTAGGAGTTCTATCTTCTACTGTTACATATAGTAATTCAAGGTAGAGTAAGGGCAGTATAGATCAAAATAGGTGTAGCCATTTTCTCAAATAGGCAATTAGCTTGCTGTCAGCAAGTAGTTTAAATGCTAAGTACAATTACACATCTTCACAGAGTGACTCCAATGGTGCAGCAACGCAAAATTACAAACAGTGTTCCCTTGATATTTCCTAATTATTTGCTTTCGAATACACAAAGTGGTTTGCATTACTTGAATAAATGCATTTATTCATTTTAAAATCTTATTTAATTTAAATCGTTACTGCTAAATTAAATCAGTACTCCACAAACCTAGCTTAAATTCCTTCACTATCTCTCTGAATTCTTTAGGAAAATGGGGAGCACTGTTCAAAATCATGCAATATTATACACTTAATGTCTGCTCGCGAGGGAAATAGTTAGTTTTGTTTTCCGAGAGACTCAATGTTTCCCGAGACGAAGTCGAGGGAAACATTGAGTTTCGAGGGAAAACAAAACTAACTATTTCCCGAGAGAACAGACATTAAGTGTTTTGTTATATAGCGACGAAATAAAAAAATATATATATTCATACAACAATTGTATTTTGTGATAAAAACAATACAAAGTAAGCAATATTAAAATTTAAAAACATGCCTAAAGTATTTCCACAGCATTTCCTGTTGCCTGCTGTGTATTTTTCGTCTCTTTCGATTCTGTAGTCTTCAAATAAACTTGAGAAAACATTTATAAACTTGCAAGTTCAAAGCCGCCATTTTGTTTTCGGGAGGGCAATAATTGTTTACTTATTGCCCTGAAGGAAACATTGCATTTAATTAGGGTCATGTGACCACAAATGAACCAATCACGGATTGACTTTCCCCCTAGCTATATAACAAATTGTTATAATTTATTTATTTCGAAGCAAATAAGTTGACTATTAAATATCATTATCAAATATCGTTATACTATTTGCAAATATTAAAATTTAATAGATTTACAATGATTTTTTTGATGGAGTAATGTGTGGACCTATGACTTTATGTTATGCATATCTGGGCGTGAAACATTATAGGTTGTAATTAAGTGCTTATTACGTCAATGACTAATGCGATTTAATTATAACTTGTTATCTAAAATAGACTTAGTAGCAAAGCAATGTCCACATGGTATTCAGTTGTCAAATGTAATTGTGAAATATATACAAGACCACAAATTACCGCTTAAATACTTGTTTCCATCTGATTGTATTTTTGAAGGTGTGCACACGCCCATATTGTTGTTAGATTAAGTACGATTAAAGTGAAAATACAAGAAAAGGATACATGTATCAAATAGCGTACTTTAATATGTTATTATTATTATATTTTATTATTATTATATTATAAATGTTTATTATTTATTTAGACGCACGTTATTAACACGCAAAACAATATTAAAGGTTCACAACGATTCAAGGATTAAGGCGAATGTATTTTTATGAAATAAAAATAAAATTGTAAGATAATGCACATTCAGACAATCCTGGTCAAAAATCCTTGGCGCACTTAGTCGAAATAGCATAACCTTTACTTAATTTCTGATTACCATATACATAATTGCCCATTTTATGCAAGATTTCATGCCCAAACACCCCCTATCCCCCTAATCAATGTTGTGTAACACCTTGGACGTATAACACACTACACACAACATTGAACGGAGGAAAGGAAGGGTTGCTATGCTTGTTATTGATGTGGGAGTCAAATTTCGCACAGTCAGTGTCAAGTGCGCCAATATTTTTGACCAGGATTGTAGCATTACGTGTATGATAATTATTAACTTGACCGAACAGAGAAAAGAAACCGTCAAAAACTTTTGGAAGTCAATTATTTTGATACAAGTACATGAATTTACCAAGGTGATATTTGTAAATTTTCTCCACTTTCAATATCTTTAAATCATTAAAGATTGGCTCAGTATGAGCATCAAATTTGTCTTTATTGACAACTCTTATAACACGCTTTTGAAGCAATACAATACGATTTAAATTGGTTTGATATGTTGAACCCCAAACAATTATACAATATTGAATGTAAGGATATACAAGAGAATAGTTTATATTTGAGAGACAAAAACTTGCCTTATATATAATACCTATTGATTTAGATATTTTCCTGGCTACATGGGAGGTGTGAGGCTTCCAAGATATATGCCCATCAAGGATAACGCCTATGAATACAACCTCTTTAACCATAGCAATTTTGTCACCATTTAATTATATAGGTAACTCAAAGTTTAATCTTTTTTTGTCTGGGTTTAAATAGCATATAATTAGATTTCTTTATATTTATTGATAATTTATTTGCCCTAAACCACCCAGATAACTTATCAATTTCACGATTAATTACATTAGCTAAGGAAGATTGGTTTTTATGGGAATAAAATAGATTCGTGTCATCAGCAAACAGAATAAATTCATGTACAATTGTAACATCACATAGATCATTGATATATAATAAAAAAAGAAGTGACCAAGGATAGAACCTTGTGGTACTCCACACCGAATAGTGTTAAAGGTTGATAATGTGTCAATTTTACTGAAAAATTGCAATCGATTGTGAAAATAGTTTTCATCCAATCAAGAGCCCTTCCTCTGATACCATAGTGTTTAAGTTTATGAAACAAAATGTCATGATTCACGGTGTCAAATTTCCGATCGATTGCTGCGGAAATTTTGTTATACAATTGCAATAACGCTTGTGAAGTTGAGTGATTTTTTCTAAAGCCGTACTGATGGTCAGATATAATATCAAATTTGTCAAAATAATGTATTATGCGATTATATACAATTCTTTCCAATAATTTGGAAAAAATAGGCAAAACTGAAATAGGTCTATAGTTTTGGAAATGTCTATGATTTAAATAACGGTATGACACGAGCAATTTTCATCTTATCCGGGACAACGCCAGTTGAAATAGAAAGATTGATTATATGAGTTAAAGGTTCAGAAATAAGGTCAATAGAACTTTAACAGCAAACATTTGGATCTTGTCATAGCCTGCCGCTGTGCCCGGACGCAAAGAATTAACTATTTCAGATACTTCTCGTGTTGTTGCAGCGTTAAAATATATGGAGTTGGGGTAGTTATGAGAGAGATAAGAACGATGAGAAACTACTGATTCCGGTAACTTTTTAGCTAAATTAGGCCCTATGTTAGTAAAATAATCACAAAAATGATTAGCAATTGTATAAATGGACAGGATATTTCCTGATTATCAAAAATAAATGTCGACGATAATTTACTAACACGTTTCTTTTTATTAATAACTTCATTCAAAATCTTCCATGTGTTTTTAGTATTCGTCTTAAAATAATCTAATTGTTTGTCATAATAATTCCGTTTGGCAATTCTCAAAGAATGGTTTAATTTGTTTTTGTATTTTTTGTAAGATACTTCATTAACATAATTTGGAACATTTAAATATATCGCTTATATAATTTACTCTTTCGCTTTATAGATTTAATAAATCCCCTTGACAGCCATGGTTTACTCATAGTACATTTTTCATTTTTAACTCGTTTACATGGAAAACAATTGTTATAAATTTCATGATATTTATTTAAAAAAATATCATAAGCGTGTTCTGGATTACAGAACCCTTCCAGGTCATACCAATTAATTTCACTTAATTCCTGGCGAAATCGGACACATTTGCTACACTTTTGTCACGAAAGACAAAGTATGCATCATCGTCCGTCACAGAAAATTGTTCGCGAGTTATACAAAATATCGGCAAATGATCAGAGATGTCTGAGAGCAACAGGCCGCTAAGAGAATAGTTATCTGGGTGATTGGCAAATATGTTATCAATAAGAGTAGCAGTGTGTGATGTTATTATTGGTGGAAGGGTAATTAAAGGTAAAAACATATGAGAATACATTATATCTAAGAATTCACCAGTAGATTCAGGACAGTGATTGTTCAAGAGATTTAAATTAAAGTCATCCATCAAATAGCATGTTTTGTTTTCTTTAGAAATTTTTCCCAAAAGTGTATTAAGATTAGATATAAAATCGCCAACAATTTGATTAGGTGGCCTATAAACAATACCCACGATAATATTTTCCCTTTGCTAATAACTATTTCTATAAACAAAGACTCAACACATGACTGCATGCTCAGGAAAACCTAGATCGTTACGAAATTTGTATTGTAAATCAGATCACAAGTACAATCCAACACCGCCCCCAGGTCTATCAGAACGGTAGTTGTGCAAAAATTATATCCATTCATGTCAACTGAGTGCGATGAATCTCAAAGCCATTTTTCAGAAACACCAATGAAAGAAAATTTATTGTTAATCGAATGGAGTAGAGTTGTTAGATTCTCAAAATTGCGACCAATACTTCGTATATTAAAATGAATTAAAGATAAATTTTCACAATTATACAAATTATCTTGCAACATATCATTAAAAGTATTCTCGGTATAAAAATCACAATTAAATACATCTGAAAAGAAATTTGAATCGGGATCTAAATTGTTCGATAACGATAAACCTTTATAATTATCTAAAGATAACGGGTTTAGTTTTAAACAGGAAAGTCTATCGGAATCGAAATTCACCGGACCGTGTAACATTTCGTACATAACTAATTGAAAACTTTCGTCATCAAAATGACTGAAAGGCAACGCGTTAATACTATTATACGAATCGAATTAAGCTATGGTAAATATAACGAAAACTTATCTGATTGAACGAGGTTTATTAAAGTCGACTGTTGTAGTTTCTATTAAACTCTTAATAGAAACTCTTAATAGTTTCAAACTCTTCACTGTGGGAAAACGAAGCATTGCAACAATTGGACGAGAAAAACT